TATATGCAAATACATTTGCAGGCATCAGTGAATAAATGTCTTAAACATGGAGTGTTTTTTTAACTGGTGAATGTCCACTTAAAAAACTTAGGAAAAAAGAAGTCAACCAGACTCATTGCGGAGTAACGGCCGTTACAAAATCTCCATCCGAATGAATTATCTCAAGTAACTATGAATATGTTAAGGCTATGCCTGCAGCGCTAGCACCTAAGAATTATATTAAAAGCTTGCATCTGATATGACAAAAGACTTGAACACTGTACTTGATATAAATAATATAGTTATAGAACAAAAGAATTCAATTAAAACTAGCGAGCAAACAACATCACAACATTAATTTACAGTTAACCTACTTTAAAAAAAGCTTAAATAATCGACGTTTCGATACAAGCTGTAGCTAAGTTTAATTCCCGCCGTATTGATTTGCATTCTTTGTTTTGTTGTTTACTTACCACGAACTACTTTCTGGTAATCTGAAATTGGCTCATCCACATCATACATTACAGTCCAAATAACAACAATATAGCATTGAAGAACTGTTAGGACGAAAATTCCTTTCAAAATCTAAACTAAAAACCCGTGTAAATGTTGCCTCAAAATAAAAATATCAACGGTTTTCGACAGGCTCTTACAACTGAGCCGGCGATACTGCCGCGGCTTCTTTCCGACAGTACATTTCGTGTACCTTATATGGACCATCTACTTCTCCTTTCAAGATGGCAGCTTGGCTGAGGCAGCTTGGTTCGCGGTTTAGTGGTCTTGGCAACGTTGTAACTGCGCTGATCGTCGGTGCAGGTTTGACAAAAATATATTACGAGACTACAGATAGCGAGAATGTTTCGACTCAGAAGCAGATCCAGGAAATCATTGCAAGGCACGACCATCTAAAACACGGAAATCACCTCCGAACTATTGATCCTCGCCAAGTGGAAACAAATCTTGATAAACTTGATACACTGGCGGAAATCGCTGACAATGAGGACGATAATGTTTTCAAATACGGTCTTCCGAAGAGGTCTCCGGATTATATACGGTACAGGAATCACGTTTTGTGCTACGATCAAGCTAAGAAAACGCCGCGGTGGGTGTTGGAACATTTGACACGGGACAAAGTAAAAGGAGAAGCCGATCGAGCTCATTCCACATTTAAACCTGATTTAAACATTCCTGCGCGTTTTCAGTCAAAAAACGATGACTACTGGGACAGCGGATGGTCAAGAGGTCACATGGCTCCTGCAAGTTGGTACCCTCTGTTACTAAATAGGCACTACCCCAATATCGCCATTTCAATTCTCCGGACTGATCTCCATACAACTCCTTAAAGAATAAGTTGAGAGAATTTGATAAAAGATCAAATCATTTTCTCTTTGGTGATCAGTTTATTGATTTTCATAACCTTTTCTCTTGCTGCCTTATTTACATTATATTGTCAGGAGAAAATTGATAGTGGTCACGCATGGAACTCACGTGTAAACATATTAATGTAAAGCCACATGCACTCACAAAACTAGACGATGATTCCTGTCTCCTCCCATGGATGCAAAAACCTACCAAGATGATGGAGGCCAACTTTGGTAGAGGCAGTTGAGCTTCAGACTGCTAGCTGTTCTCTTGATTCCTGGTACTGAGGGGTTGGGGGGAGTAAGACGACGAGAACTGGGAAGCATATTTACTCTTCCGCAGAGCCTGGTCATTCAGCTTGCACTGCTGTCCAATGAGTAAACAGGGCCTACTAACAGTCTTAGTGCTGTCCTGACAAATTTTATGTTAAAACAACAGCAGTTGTGTAATTATCAATGAGGAAAAGATTCTTTGATCGACTCCTTGACAGGGTGATGTAGTCTTCAACCTGCATTTTCCTCTTAAATATATTCTCTTATTTTCAGGCAACAACAAGTTTAACCAAGAAGCTATGGATGCAACATTCTTCTTGTCAAACATTGTACCTCAAGATCTTGACAACAATGCTAACTATTGGTATAGACTAGAAGCATACTGTAGGGGCCTCACAAAGAGATACTCCAGTGTATATATTGTGTCTGGCCCACTCTATTTACCAAAACAAGAAGATGGAAAGAAGATAGTCAAATATGAGGTCTGTTCAGTGTCTCAATCGTTTTGAAACATTTCAAGTATTAATTTGATTTCTTTGGCTGAGCCAAAATTTTACTCTCGGCCAATGGTTCCAAAAATTAGTGCTCAAGGAAAAAAAATACAAAGTAAATTCATTTTGTGCTCCCATGTGAAAGTACTGCAGCACAGGTTTCATTTGAACGGTCACGCAGCAGGATTTCATCCACAGATTGACAAGTTGAAGCAGGTTTGTGCAGCAGAATAAAGGTATCATGTAAAGTTACTGCTACATGCATAGAGGTCTCATATGCATGGTCACCCATGAATGGTGAAATAATAATTAAAATACTGAAGCCAGATGTTTGAGTTGTTGGACTTACTGAGATCCAGAAAGCCCTGTTACCCCAGTCCAGAAGAGTGAAAAACGCCACTGTTTTCCGGCTAGTTTGCAATAATTTAGACAGCCACGCTTTTTAATTTGCTTTGGTTTATTTCCTTAGGTGATAGGCACGAACAACGTTGCAGTACCAACACACTTATACAAAGTAATTCTCGCGGAGGACGAAAGTAAGGAAACCGTCCTCGGAGCCTTTGTAATTCCAAACGAACCAGTGAGCTTCGAACGCAAGTTGCAGGATTTTCAGGTTCCACTCGAAGATTTAGAAAGATTTTCAGGTTTGGTATTTTTTCCTGCGCTTAATTACGGCAAGGCAAGCGATCTCTGTTTTACGGATGGCTGTAAGATGATGTCTAAAGAGCGCATGGACATGATAGTATATGGCCGTCGACTTCGTAACGCGGAGAACTCAGACCTTCTGCAAAAAGTGTGGGAAGAAATGAAGGAAACCAAAATGGCTCCTGATAAATTTACGACTGACATATACGAGAGGAGGAAAAGAGAATTACAAGAGCAGGAGACTGAGGTGGTTAAAATCGGTGAAGAGTAGGGTCTAAAAAAGTCGAGGATAAATAGCCATTTAGGGCTTTTTATAATCAATACCATCTAAGAAAGCGCAATCCTTTTTGTTTTTTTTACAAACATTTTGAGACGTGGATTTAGGAGATATCTTCGTAGTTTTGGACTCACCCAGCTGCGTAAGACGATGAAAACTCACTGTCGTTTTGATGTGCTCAGTGCACTTTGTAGGCGATTCGCTGCAATTTAGAGTCGATGTACGTGTGATAATTCAGTCCAGTTATTTTCACACGAACACCGTGACACGCAGATGTAGCTAGGATAATTTTGCNTTGCCATTTAGGGCTTTTTCTAATCAATAACATCTAAGAAAGCGCAATCCATTTTTTTAAAAAAACATTTTGAGACGTGGATTTAGGAGATATCTTCGTAGTTTTGGAATAACCCAGTTGCGTAAGAAGATGAAAACTCACCGTCGTTTTGATGTGCTCAGTGCACTTTGTAGGCGATTCGCTGCAATTTAGAGTCGATGTACGTGTGATAATTCAGTCCAGTTATTTTCACACGAACACCGTGACACGCAGATGTAGCTAGGATAATTTTGCAGCCAAATTCAATCATAGAACGAGAAAGTATCACAGTTTACGTAACTGTAAGGCTCAGAAATAATTTATTCATATAAATCATAAAACCCAAAGTCTAATGGGAATCTTTAATGTAAAGAGAATTTTACCCCAGTCTTAATAACTATGGAAATACTGCCTTCAGCGGCTAGCGTAATGATAGGTAATTGGCTCTTGTCGTCAAAAGTTGCGATGGCAACGGATAAAACAGATCTAGAGTTAGCTTGAAAGTGGTACAAAGAAAATATAAGTGAAAACAACTACGTAACTATGATAATAAAAGAGATAATTTTGTGTGTTTTCGGATTATTTTCATCTGTTCGATAGGGCTGGTCAAGCTATTCCCTGAAAATCAGAAAGGGAGAGATATTTATATGTGTTGATTACTCCCAACGGCTTATAAAACATCACGACTGTGCAAATAGTTTGCCTCTAAATATAAACCGTCAGAATTTAGCCGGTTAATATTTTGACGTGTAGTTTGCCTACACTTCAGAGCAGGAATTCAAACAATTGAACTACAGAAGTGAGAGTGCAATATAACAGTTAAAAACGCAAATTGTTTTCCGGAAGCTAGTGAGGAGACACCCTTATGTCGACTGCACCCGTTTTCACTTTCACTCTTCACTTCCGGCAAAATTATAGCAAATGAACGCGAGTTTATGAAAAAATACCGCACAGATCTTTCTTTTTAAACTGCCAATCAGACATAAGAAAATCTCTGACACATAGGGGATTAGCTTTTATCTTGTATTTAGTCGTAGAAATGAGTTTTTCTTTGTCGTATTGCGAAAATAAGCAAATACAGGTAATCCGGCTAACATCTGTTTTTGTACAATTTTGCAGTTTCTCACCGAAAGAATTCTCGAAAGGCTTGAACGGTTTGTGTGGAAACAGAGAGATGAAAAAAGCGAAAGTGGCGTAAATTAACCTTTAATTACTTTAATTGTTAGAGGTAGGAATCAACCCCTCTGGCAATTTTTTTGGAGACTTTAAAATGTTTGGCCGCGGACATAACCTGTGCTTTATGTCTGAGCCAACTGTAAATAAACTAATCCTCAAATATTGCGATACGTGCAGTTCATCTCGCAATAATTATGCCTGTCTGAAATCGGAGGCGTTAAACTGGTTACGGAGCTGGGCCTATCCCAGTCTCACAAAGCGGAAACCTTGTATTCTCTCGTCATCCTCCAAAAGAGCTTACGTATTTCATGGTATTTGCGCATCCAAACGTGAAATGAAAAGCAGCTTTATACGCAAATGAGTTGTTATTGAAATTGAATGAATCTTTCGGCTTTCGATCACAATGTAGTCAAGGCATCCTAGCAGATCTGGGAGTAAAATTAATAGCTTTTTCCACCGATCTACTCGAACATTTGAACACAAAGATGGCCAAAAATTTGGGACTTTTGAATCCTGCTCTCACTGGAAGTACTATCAGCCTTGATCGACGAAGCAACTCAAGTTTAAACGTTATTGACAATGCAATGTATCTCGATGAAGATTCAGGGAATCCTTACAACACACTGCAACGCAATGACAACCGTCAAGTTAATCCAAGGCCAAAAAGAACTCAAAATGCTGTATATGATGACATTTATAACCCCAGAGTAGTGGGGCAAAATCAGTCAAGGACTTCTCAAACTCCGAAGAAACCCGGTCGCGGGAGACAAAGGAAAAATGGAAGAATATTTCGCGTTGTATTGATGTTTCTTATTGTTCTTGTGGCTATCATAGCTTTACTGCTTGTTCTCCTGTTGATGATGGGGAAAGTTGGTCCAAAATGTCGCTGCCGTACTTCAAATTCAGGTGAGAAAGTATTTTTTGCTCGTTATTTTTATCAGATTTTGGTACGTGTATCTTGAGAGCGAGCCGGCAATGTTTATCGTGGCAAGGGATAACGTGTACTTGAATGCAAATTTAAATTCAGCTGATATATTGACTGTTAAACATTTTGCCTTCAAATAACATAATTTTAATTCCCGGTTTTAATTATTGATTCTACTCGTATATAAATGGAAAAGTAAAGCGCCGTTGTTTTAGTTTCGACTCTTAGTTCCGTTCTCGGCAATTTTTTGGATATTACCATGTCATCGACTTTCGTATCGATTTATATCTTGAAAACATTTCCAGAAGATTCTAACTAAGCTTTGTGTCAAACGCACTCCAGAATGAAAATAAATAGAATGAACAGTAGAAATTGCTTGTCTAGGCAAGAAACCTCAACGAGTAGTGCAAGAAGAAATAAAAGGAGTACTTGACAATTAGCTGAGTGTTGATAAAGTGGATACAAACATAACTGGCGAGTGCCCTTTGACGGTTCCTATCTTCCAAAAGAGTACAGCTCATGCTGCAGCAGAACATTACGGCATACGCAATCGACTTTCCCGTGCATAAGAAGTAGAAGTGAAATTAGAAGCTATTAGAAGACCAAGGCAGCGTTGAGACGAGAATTAAACTCTTCTCAGTATATATACTGAAAATTTTCCTGCGACTTTTCAGGGATTCACATTGATGCTAAAGCTCATCATGCAGTTAAGATATTCTAAAATGGTCATGGGCAGATTCTTAATTTAGCTATTCCCTGACTAGGCGGCGGTGAAATGCGGCACGACCAAGTTCGTTCAATTGTACATGGACCTTGTTTTCGCTTAACAGTGATTAAGAAATCAGGGCCCAGTTGTTCGAAGCATGGTTAGCGTTAACCATCGTTTAATACCTTGACAACGTATTGGTTTTGATACTGCTTAACCAATGGTTAAAGCTAACCATGCTTTGAGCAACTCAGCCCAGGGCTTTAGTGCCATTAACGATCGACTTTTGTCAATTGAATGCCAAAAGGATGCTCCGTTAAAGCCGTTTATCCAATAGTTTGCTACTTGCTATAAAAACCATATTCGAAGAGTAGGTTAAATCGAAACCAGCCATGCAGAAGGTTGACCCTCCCAGCCTTTATTATGCAATGACATTCAGGCTGTAATCAATCAAAAAATTTCCTATCACGAGTGTTCTCGAAATATCTTCCGCTCAGTCAGGCTGACACTTCGGATTTAATCGTCGGGAGGGCCGAGAGTGCTCTTTCCTTTTCGGATATGACTTTGTGCTAAAAGATGAATCTGGTAGGCGGCATATATTACCCTACCCTAGAAATGTTAGATCAGTATATGTTTCTGGGAAACTGTCCACCAACCCCTCCCCTAAGCCAACATTAACACCTACTTCTCACTTAGGACAAAATGTTGGTTTAGGGGAGGGGTAGGTGGGCAGTTATGATCATTTGAATCCAAAGGTTTAAGAGCACCCCCAGAAGATGGGACATCTGCATAGCAGGCAGTCGTCTCTTGTTTTAAACGGTAAATGGACAAATGTTGTCTTTTCGATCTTTTCCTTGTCTTGTCTATTTATTCTTTCAAACAAGGAACAACTGCATTGCATTGAACTCACTATTGTTTTTGTGTTTGTGGTCAAAAAAGCCATTTTAAATTAAAGATAAAATCGCCCTCAGGCCAATTTCTTGTTTTGCATACTTTAACGCCCGCTAAGCCAATGATCATGGCGACGCTATTATAAGCGCTAAACGTATTCAACTGCATCGATCTTTCACATATCTCGAATTCTTCAGTTGGTCAGAGTTAACTCAATATCATGAGCACGCGCATAGAAGCGAAATGTTTCGCTTTCCTTTTCAATATCAAAGAAAAAACAGAGCGCAAGTAAAAAGGTCAAAATCAGGAGTAATTCATCTCAACGACTATTGAACATTACTTAGATGAGTCAAGTTACTACATCGTAATGTGCGTGTGAATACAATAAGTGGAATGGCTTACTACCCACCATCTGTTAAGACCAACTGGGAAGCAAAACAACAAGTAGCTTTACCTCCTAGGCCTCGTGCTGACTCCAACTCATCTTATGTTGTCTTAAGTGAAACAGCAAAAGATAAACACAGAGCTTATTCTTCGAAAAGTAGTGCAAAAGAAAAGAAAAAACGGCGAAAAAAGCCGAAATCTGTCACGGGAAATTGCTCAAGGACCGTACGAACTTTGAATGATGAATATCAAATCAAAAGCCATCTCGAGCGCCATGGCTGTTGCCACGGACTATGCTATCATCGTTTTCTTCAGTTTCTTGTTCTTTTCTTCTCTGTTGCTGCTTTGACTTTAGTTATTCTTATGGTCTTCGGCGTTTTGGGACCAGCCCAACGCTGTCGCGCTTGCAAAGAAACTGAAGGTAAGCTTACCTCTTCCGCAGTTGAAAGCGCTTCGTTTCGGAAATGGATGCCCCCATTTATTTCAAGCTTGGTAATTCTGGTATAATTTGACTTAAATAATTAACTTCCTTTCACGGTGATGAGCTGTGGGGCGCTGGAAAGCCCATTTAATATTGTTTATCATCATTTCACTGGTTCGTTTAACAAACCACAAGTTAGCTTTCAGCCGTATTCACTTGCCCCAGAGGCTATCATTTGTTCAGTCCACCCTTGTTTTTTATTTTCACATTCTAAAGTTTCAAAATATCTTCTAAAGTTATAATATTCTAAGAGGAAAAAGCTGACGGAAATAAATGGCTTTGTGGGGAAGTGTGTGGTGGTTAGAGGAGCGCACATGACTCTCCATCGAACCAACGAATACATGTGTTGAATATATAGATTGACGTGAATTATAAGTGGCATGTTTTTTATATGGCTAATTATAAAAATTATTCTCGATTCTTTGCCCACTTTTAAGAGTCAAACAGAATTTTCTTAGATACTCTGTCTTTAACGGGAAATAGCTGAAAGAATCTGGGCTATGTCTTAACCCTTAACTTATACGTGTAGTTTCAAAAGACGTTTTCGATATTTTCAGCATTTTCTGCAATTTTAATTTATTTCAATATGGAACTCTACAGTTGCTCCTTGCTGTGCATGTACTGCCAACGCTGCACTTGGTAAAGCGCGAGAAAACGTGGATTGCATAAACCCCCGGACTGGTTTCAAGACCCCAGTATACTCATCGCCGGCTAGAACAAATAGCAAAATGTTGCCTTAAGTGAGGGCTAGGTGGGCAGTTTCCCAGAAACGTATACTGATCCAAAAAATAAATAGGCAATTAATAAAATAAACAGTATGGTCACTGTAAGAACTAAAAAGACTAAGGATCGATTTGATTTTCAACTCCAGGAACTTCACCAAAAGTGGGTAGACAATCTTCTGAAGAGCAAAACAAACAGAATGAAACAGAGACGTCTTCTAAAAATACCTTTAACACGGACTTCTCTCCATTTTACGACATCTTGGAGGATTTGCAAGCTAATATTTCGTCTCTTCGTCAAGAAGCAGTAAGTCGACAAATCTAAATTATATTTTTGACGGGTATTTAGACTAGAGCAGATTTTCTTTAGGCTTTTATCCACAAACTTTAAGTCAGAGTCACAATTTGCAGGTCAAGACGTTATTCGAAAGAATTTGAGTGCAGGCATACAACACTGATGCTAATATTTTGCACGATAACACCTCAATGTGAGCCCAACACCGGTTAATTTTGCGAATTCTCTCTCAGCCTACCGGGCTGCATGAATATCGCTCGCAGTGATGCATTGCATTGTTGCCGAGTGGCTTTCTGTACGTGAGAACCTTTGGTCCTCTTGTGTTTGTCGCTCGGTGACTGGTCGGGATTGCAATTGTTGTTCGTAGCTCATGGTCTGCTCGGGTGCGATAATCCTGAGAGATTGCTAGCGGTCCAATTAGAAACTTTGGTTAAAATAATTAAATTTTCAAATTATCTTGCTCAATAATCAGAGATATAAGCGATATTTGCTGAGAAAACATTGGCCATCAAAACCGGCGGAATGAGTTAGTTGACGTCCCCACCCCTCCACAACTACCTCCACCATTTCAGCCTCAGATATATGTAAGACGTATTATTTATACTATATCTGCAATACTTTGCGGAATAAAGTTCCTCTGTTAAAAGTGGTAAACCAATTTTTTTTTTCTGTGAAGGAATCGCTACTTCAACAATCAGAAGGGAACACGGATACGCTTCTGGCAGCCAAAACAAAGTTCAATTTTACAAGACACGAGATTACACTGTTTTACAATACGTTCTATGCTGTGGTTAACAATGTAAGCCTTGTTGTATTTAGATGACGCCTTGAGTTTAAATTATGCTATCTATATTATCGGTCTTGAGTGAAACATTTTTGATTTTCAATTTGCTTGTCACTCTTAGAAGGAATTCTAATATTCAGCTACCTATTAGATGCTAATACATCCAATCCTCACGTTTTATCAGGAGGATATTTTCACATGTAGCTGGTGCGAAAAGTGAACTTGCAAATGTGCTGAATTAAAAGTTTGCTAGTCGCTAAAAGTGCTCTCTAATTTGTTTTTGGGTGTATCTGTTTGCAGGTCAATAATTCTTTGCAGCAGTTTAGCCATGACAATGCGCTAGTGTCTGGTCAACTTCAAGCATTAAATACCACGTTTACAAACGAGGTACGTAATACATTTAGCCTATCCAGTGACCTGAATCGTATGCAAATGTTCTACCAAAGTCGGTTGCATGCATTGCTGGTTTGTGAAATAAAGTACATGGATTGATTTGAGTCCATTTAAATTGATCTTGCAGTTGGGAGAGATGAAGCAAACTTACCAGCAGTATAATGACATCATCGACGATGCTATCCAAAATGTGAACGATACTATCGCTGAAAAGGTTGGTAGACTGATCAGCTGTTAATTCTCCACGTTAAAAACGAGTGGGAAACTGGGACAAGATTATTTCCCGCAAAGACTTCTGGTACTGTTACTAAGGACAGGGGGAAAATTGGCCAATAGCTGACCAGCGCGTCCCCAGCAACTATCCCAGAAACAATTGCGGGGATCATTTCGGCTCCAGCTCCCGTCTCGTTTCCAAAGTCGTGACAAATTGGAAGTTAAGGGGAATATATCACGGCTTTTTAGAGGCCAATATTGGCCAATATTGGCTAGCTATATTAATATAGCTGGGGGTTTCAGTGGGGATCATTAACTGGGGAAGTAGCGCTTTTTGTTTAAGAATCCGTCGCGCCGAAGCCGAGAGTGATTTGCCCGGGTTTAAAGCCTTACTGAACGTCTTTCAATTTTACTCGGCCAAACAACATTTGAAGGCTTGTTTCATATCAATCACGATTTTTTAAAAACCATGTTTTTCTAGGTATCAATTAGAATTGCTGAACCTGGGCCAACTGGCGAGAAAGGACAAAACGGTTTCAGAGGTCCAACAGGAGATACGGGACCCCCCGGGCCAAAGGGCCCCATGGGGATACAAGGAATTACCGGAGCAAAAGGGGACAAAGGAATGAAAGGAGATCCAGGCTTTCCAGGCAAAAATGGCAACAAGGGAGCGTCCGGGGAGAAGGGAATCAAGGGACTGCAGGGCGACACGGGTCCTCCAGGAATTAAAGGAGATACCGGTGATCCAGGACCAAGAGGGATCGGTAACTTCAGTTGGTGCCAGCCTAAAAAAATTGAGCAAACATCACCTGCTAGCATTGATGATACTCAGGTAACATAGTTTACGAGCGTGTAATATCTGCATTCTTAAGAAATACTTGCTCACTAAATTTTAGTTTCAATTTTTCTAACTGATGTTGGTCAGTCCAAGCTCATACTACATAGCCTGCTTGCAAGCTCTCTGGTGGTTCCGGGGGGAAAGAGGGGACTCCAGACCCCAGACCCTGATACCAAAAGCAGAGATGCTATATGTGCATGCCTTACAGCTGAATTATCTTTAACAGGATATTTTTAATTTTTTTAATTTTCACAGAATACAAAGGTCATTGGAGCATATTGCACAACAACTACTGCTGATGCAGAATCTAACTTGCAAGTACTAATACAATCTCCGCCAAATCACAATACATATTCATGCGTTTGTAGGGTCTCTGGAGGGAACCCACACTGTGCACTGCATTACTGGGCGTGCCCCATTCATGCCCCATAGCCATTATTATTTACCTGAACTGGCACGTATCAAGTCTTACCTACAGTCAACCTCTACTGAAAAATACCTGGAAAAAACACAACAAAAAACTGCGGCCCCCTTTTATTTCTGATCACTACCAAAAAAGGAGACCTATCCCGTAAGTGGAAGTGATCTCTTGAATGGACGTGTTCTTAAGTGGACAGTATAGCATAGTAATAATTATAAATTCACCACAATAAAGACGTGTCAATATTTATATTTCGACAAAAATGGATTGTAACATATGAATGGCACAGTTAGATTAGCCAAGAAGTGTGGTTCTTTCGTTATATACGTAAGTAATTTCTTTACATCAAATTGTTTAAGTTACTCGTCCCACGAATTCTAGTGGTCTATCCAACGTCCCATCAAAGGTTATGATTATTGGAGCATATTGCACAACAACTGATGCTGTTGCAGAATCTAATAACTTGCAAGTACGAATACAATCGCAGCCAAATCACAATGTACACTCATGCAAGTGCACTGCATTACTGAGCATGCGCCACTCATGCTCCATAGGCATGATCTTTACCTGAACTGGCATGTTTCGTTTCTCTTTGAATCAGTCTTAGTTACAGTCAACCTCTGTTAAAAAATACCTCCCCTAAACGGACAGCAAAAAAATTCGGTCCCCTGTAATCTCATAAACGGACGTGTTCGTAAGTGGGCAGTACAATATATGAATAATAAATCCACCACAATCAAAAAGTGCTAATATTTATATTGGGCAAAAAATGGATTGTAACAGGTGAATGGCACAGTTGTATTGGTAAAGGCGTACTTACTTTCTTTGCATCAAATTATTCTATCTGTCCCTCGAGGTCTCGGAGGTCTATCCAACCTCCCATCTGGGGACACCTACGTCTGGTCCCGAGGGATTTCCCTAGTGTGCCCGCCTACGAGGGCTAAACTGTAACTGCTCATTTGTTCACGGCAAGCTCGTCCCCATCGCGTTTCCCTTGGGAGATAAGGGATCAGCCCAGGGATGATTTTGTCAGTACAAGGCGTTTCCCTATTACCAACACCAGAACTTAGTTTTAAGCTCATGGTTAACGAAAAAGAGCATAATTACACAATAACAATAATGTTACATGGTCCCTTTATATATTTACGTATACGAACTTCTGGAGCTGAGCCATAGAAAAGGTGATTCAACGGATTACAACGGATTTTTTTATAATTTTTATTGTCTAAGACGTTTCTTTCGTAGTTGAAAAGGACTTGCTTCAATTTATAGAATTTTTACCTAGTGTACAGTCGCTGTCAGTAGCTATTTTGAGGTCAATTTCAATTTTCATATTTTCTTATTTTTTTAAAAATAAAAAAATAATAATTAATTAAAATAATTACGTTAATTAAAATAATCTTGTATTAGGTCGTACAACCTAATAAAAGGCCGTAGACCGAATCTACAGCTAGGTTTACAAGTTAATTGGAAGTCAATTGAAATAAAATGGCAGTCCAATTAAAGACAATAATCTTCAAAGGTAAAAACGTGAAGGGGGCAAACAGTCTGAAGCGAGGGTAAAGAACGAAGAATGAGACTGAGGAGAGAAGCGAAAAATACGCGCGCGAACAAGGCAGGTACCCACCCCTCCCCTCAAACAAATCTCTACCCAATTTTGCTTGAGGGGACGGGCGGCTATACACAGCCTACTTCCAAGGATATTCGCTATATAGAGACAGGCTTACTTGCAAGATTGCGCACAGGCAATGTATGCCGGTAGTGAAGATCAGAATGATTTTGTAATCAAAATGCAAAAGTACCCCGGTAGAATTCTTTTAAAAAAACATTATGTACGCCACTAAGTACGTGCAAAGGTTTTGCTTAGCCTTGCTTTACATAATTGACAATCGAACGGTTTTCGCTCAATGCGCGCAATGGTTCATTACGTCTTAGTTCTAAGTTTTGACCAATAAGGCCATTTCATGACACATGAAGTCAAAGTGAATTATCATCACGGACGATCGAGCTTTCATTTCCTATTCGGGCAAGGTCAGCATAATACGAATTATTTACATCGCACAGCTGGAATGTCAACTTGCTTTTCAAGGTTGAAGGGTTTTAGCCTTAATACGTCTCAGTTAGACAATAATGGCGACCAGAAAGGTATATCCAACAAGCTACGTGCTTGAGAACGCGGACGACAAGGACGAAACAAATGAAAGATCCGCTTCTAGAGTTGGTAAAAGTTTAGACGAAGATGATGAATCCGACGAAGAAGCAGCAGGCATCGCGACACGTGCACACAGAAAGAGAGTTGAAGCTGGGCTTCAAACTGCCAATGCAAAAGAATTCTTTCTTAAACGGCTTGTAATCGCCTTAATAATACTAGTAATCTTACTAGTAGTTATCGTGGTATCCTTGGTGATAGCTCTCGTAAAATCCAAATGTAAAGAATCGGAACCAGAAACAGGGACTGATAATCAACAAGGTAAATGTCAAGTAAATATTCCACTCCATGCAAAAGTTACATTCCAGCTATTGTTTAACAGTTGTCGGCATAAACTCGCATAACTAAGCCATCAAAGAAGTCATGCATCGAGAAATGATCTTTGTTACCTTTCGTATCATTCTCTTACGGAACCATAAGTGGTAGAGTTTACGATATTCCTTTTTATTAAAATCCAGCTAGTGGTCTATTATCAATGCTACGTTCTGATTGGTTGAGCTACTACTAGGCTATATGTTACAGCCCCGCTAGCAGCGAAAAACGCCGGCTTTGAAAACCAAAACTGGGACGGCTGAATCGCGTTTTGCTAACTAAAGTTGTTTTGTCTCGATATTTTTGACCAACTTAAGTTGGATTTTACTAGACAATTATTCCTCTCGCCCTCATGGCCTCTCTGAGTCAATAGCCCATTCGGCCTACGGCCGTTGTTATATGGCTAACTTCATTAATTATGTGAAAGCTAAAGTGCTAAGCATAAAGGAGACTGATGCCTTCTTTTTAGCTTCATTTGAAAAGCTGCAGGGAACCGCTTCCGGTGATGAGACACTGGATAGACTAAACGCCCTGGAAGTGAATATGACACGCCTAAAGCAAGATCTGGTACGTTCGTCTTTTGAAGTATCTGACTTTAGTGTTCCTCGTTAGTCATTTAAGGGTTAGAGGCTTCTTTTCCGTGATTTAACCCCAAATGAACCAACGCACTGAGGCTTAGCTGTGTAAGACAAAGCCGGCCGGTAGTTCCTAAATAATAAAGCTGCCGCACTGTTCATAGCCTGCGTAGCATTGCGGTTTTGTCGGGAGCACGACTGAGCGGCAAAGTTGCAAAAACGCCCGCAAAGTGCGCGCGAACGACCCAATCTCCTCGCGGTTTCTCTGTCCTCGGAGGCCTTTATTTACTTTGCGCACCCAACCAAAACCGCCATGCAACGCAGGCTACACTGTTCAAGAAACCTAAGGACCAAAAAAGTTATTATGTAGTTAAGACGCTCTTTCGCAGTTTTAAACATTGTAGCAAAACAGCGTTTTCCCTCCATATATATATATATATATATATATATATATATATATATATATATATATATATATATATATATATATATATATATA